AGAGCGGGTCGTTACAAATGGTATCAGAGCCTGACCCAGCCGGAAGTGTGCTGACGGGGACGTCGGGCCTCCAAGGGGGGTGGATTGTGATGACCCTGTGGGCGGGTGTGCCGTGGGCGGGTGCGAGAGATACTGTCAGGCTACCACACTGGCGAGCTACGGGTGCACAGTCCCACATCGCCTGGGTAGAGGAAAGGTGAAGTACTTATATGTAAGTATGTCACCTCCAATTGGTATGAGGCCTTTTGGGGTAAAGCCCAAGAGCAAAACCGTGAGGGCTCAGGCCCAAAGCGGACAATATCATACCATGTGGTAGAGCGGGTCGTTACAGCTTATACTTTTAAAGTAACGCTAAATGAACCCAAACCATCGATCCCTAACTTTGCCTTCTGGCAACGAAATCGATAACGTACTCCTTTACTCCTTTGGGTCTTTGTCGCTTTCGCCTTGAACCCATCCTTTTCTTAGTGCCAACCATTCTGTAACTACAGAATATAATTGACATCAGCTCTTCCTAACGAATCGTAAATAGAGTACAATGAATCCTAATACAAGCTCTAAGTTTTAAGAGACGCAACGCGGAAGTCACATAACGGAAGATACTCCTAAGGACACTTGAACCTGGAGTGCTCTGATACCAACTGTGATACCCCCCCCCCCCCCCCCCGGATTTCCGAATGCGGGTTGGCCAGGCCCACACTCGAATACCCGAGGATATCAAAACAAATTGATAATAAACGAACACAAAGTACAAAAGAATAAAGAAGAATAAATAAAATGTTGACAAGAAACTAAAATGATAATCTAATAATAAACCTTAGAATATATTTCCATTAATTAATAAACTCTTCTGATACAACTGATCCTCCAAAATACAACTCGAGAATCCATACTGTGTGGACCCCTAGAAAATCCAAACTAAAGAAATGACAGCAATAACTGTCTAAATCAGGAAACTGAATCATAAAAGAACTCCTATGTAGCATCGGAAGAATGAAGTAGACTGATCCCTGCTCAGCACGAACAACCTCTACTTCTGACGAACACCTGAAAAATAATGGTGGGTTAGGCCCACAAACAAGTTCTACTTTACTACAGTCCAAGCAGAGATCCGATACACGTATACATCCTAGTCAATCCAACAGTAAATAGTAGTCCGTATATATATATATACACACACTAAAGGAACCTCACTAGACTATAGGGTTGTCTCAACCTGAATAGTAGGCAACATGCAAAACGCACATATAGTGGGCATGAATACCTAGACTTACCAGGGTACACAACTACACTATGTCTAGCTACACATCCCTGGCGATATACGCACCCTAACTACTGATCCTGAGACTCAAGCTCATATCATGGCACCATACTTATATATATATAAAATCTAGTAACCATCCTATCCAGTATAAATTAATCCTCCATAAGTCATTCAACTTATTCAGCTGACCTGACTTGAATATAAGTAGGACTTAACATTTTAATTAATCCGTTCCCTTATATAATAAATTAATCATCCATAAGTCATTCAACTTGTTCAGCTGAACTGACTTGAATATAAGTAGGACTTAACATTTTAGGTAATCCATTCCCTTATATAAAATAGGTAGGACTTAACTGATAAGTTAATCCATCCCTAAAATGCCACCGTCCCATACCGGTGCATTAAACCACACAATCCAACAATTAATGTAACGATTAAGGAAATACATCAAACAATCCAGAAATAACTATGATAATATGATATCAAGTTATCACAAAATAGGAATGACTTATTATTTATTTAAGCTTTCTATATTATATGTCCTACATAAACTGAATCTTATACATATGATGATATTTTATTATACCATCAAATAAGCATTCTCCATATCCAATTCATCCTACATATTTAATCTCAATTACTAAAACATATTAAAAGATTAAATTCATTCGTTTGTTTAAAACATTCAAATAGCAAACATCATTATGATTGAGTCTATTTAAATTTATTTAAACCCAAACCTAGTTTCTATTTAATGTTCAGGAATCCTAGACATGTTTTTACGTTCCATCGTTCCACAGATATGAAAAAATACATAATTTAAACATGTAAAAATTCACATCGGAAATCAAATCAAAATCATGCATTTATCAATTCATAACACAAGAACAGATATGAACCAAATTTATAAAACCTATGTTCTAATCCAATTAAACATGCATAATTATTTAATTTTATGTGTTTAATAAATCTTGGAATTTCCTAGGCATGTATAGAAACACGAATCAAAGGAAAAGAGATAGAAGAAGAACTTGCCTTAAACTTTCGAATCGAAAGTTAAACTTCTTCTTTCTTGATCTTCTCTCTACAGGGTTTTCTCCTCATTCCTTCCTCTTTCTCCTTCTCTCTCTAACTCTTTCTCTATAGAATATATTACGTGATATATTTTCACTCCTTTTTCAACCTATAGTTGTGTATTTATAGGCTAAATAATAACCCTATTCCTTTTCCCAATCCAAGTCAACTTAATAAAGAAAAATAAAAAATGAAAATATTAAAAAGGTAACTTAAAATATGTTACGTATATAATCTATGTATATCCTTATTAATTAAATAAAATATATACATTAGATTATTTATTAATACTAAAGTTACCATAATATTAAAAGATAACTTAAAACATGTTACATATATAATCTATCTATATCCTCATTAAATAAATAAAATATATACATCAGATTATTTATTTGTACTAAAGTTACCATAATATTAAAAAGTAACTTAAAATATATTACGTATATAATCTATCTGTATTTTCATTAAATAAATAAAATATATACATCAGATTATTTATTTATACTAAAGTTACCATAATATTAAAAAGGTAACTTAAAATACGTTACGTATAAAATATATGTATATCCTTATTATATAAATATATAAAATATATACATCAGATTATTTATTAATACTAAAGTTACTATAATATTAATAAATTACTTTCCTTTTTATATATATGTATATACATATATATCTATATATATACATATACATATACAACTATCCATGGGTAATTATCCATACCCATCCAACCTCCTGTCCAAGTAGTCCATGGGACCCAATTAGTTAGCCCATTACCACTAACCATAACCAAAAAATAAAATAAAATAAAACATTTAATCATTTAATTTACCATTAATTACAATTAATCAAATACATCATTTAAGCACCTAATCTAATTAAACAAATAATACAAATAACACCTAGACAAAATACAAATAACACATACATAAGTAGCCAATTAATCAAGTAACACTTAATTCAATTAAACACATAAACAATTAGTCAAATAATCAATTAAACAATTAAAAAAATACAATAAAAATAAATAAATAAATACCGAGACTATCCTTTTAAAATTAGGGGTATTACATCATTTCTCTCACTACTTTCAATATGTCATTAGGACAATACTTGCATCCAACCCAGGTTGGATGAAGTTTGTCCAACCTGGGTACGTGGCACAATCAGGGCATGACAAGTGTCCATTACACTATTCAACTTAAGTTGGGTAATACCCAACTTAAATGGGTTTGACCTGATAGAACAATTTTTATTTTATTTTATTTTATTATTTTTTCTTTTTTCAGAAGATCGCTCCCTGCCTCGTATCTTTCCGTCGCCGCCACCACCACCACCATTCTTGACCTCCTTTCTCTTTCTTCTATCTCTCACCTAGCCAACAAACCCATCTATGGCCATATCTCTTTCACTCACCTAACCAGCGAACCCAATTATAAAAAAAAAAAAAAAACCCATTTCATCATCAATCTTTCTCACCCCCAAAACCAGTAAACCCTTACACACACACACACACACACACACACACACACACATATATATATATATATATATATATATATATTATATACACCACTACCAACACCGGCGAGCTGTCGGCGCAAGAGACTGCGTCCTGGCAGTTGCAGGAGATGACGGCGGCAGGTAGACAACCCACCATGTTGACGAGATACCGGACGACGACGGTGAGGATGATTGGTAACTCGTCCTGACCCAATGGAGCGCCGCTGCTGGGAATTCGACCAATTCCGCCGTTAAATCAAAAGACGATGATGGCTGATTCGTTCTTCGATTTGGGGATTTCGGTGATGAATCAATAACATAAAATGGTGTCTAAACCTGACCCTAGATTCTGACTACTGTGTGATCTAATCGGAGAGAGAGAGCTCACGGGGATGCCGATTGTGGGTGGTGCGGGGAAGGGGTGGAGATGGTTGTTTCGTATGGTGGGTAAGCAGTGGTGGAGGGACCGATTGTGGGTGGTGGTAGGAGGTCAGAGAGATGAGAGGACCGACGGTGGCGGCAGCCATGGTCGGCTACCAACCTTCCACCCAAATCGAAGCCATCGCCGTCGGCAACAAGGTCTTCGTCAATTCGGCCGTGGCTCTGCCTCGCTGTCGAGTCAACTCAGTCTCCAACAACCACCAATCCAACATCACTCGCTCTATCCTTTCCATACTCTTTTTAGGCCACCTCGGCGACAACGGACTACATCGCCGACCTCAACGCCGGTTGCTTCTTCGCCAATAGCCACCAAACGAGAATCAAATCTGAGGGAAGATGGAGGAGTTGACTCGGCAGCGAGGCAAGAAAACAGGTAATATCTAAAAATTGACGAGCAATATTCAACAAAATTTTATATTATTTATGACATGGGTCATGATTTGATCGGGCCATGTATCCAGGTTGGACAAATTTCATCCAACTCAACCTGGGTTGGATGCAAGTACTGTCCATGTCATTGTAGGTCTCATTTAATATTTCTCCCCTCTCACACACGTTACCCTGAATCACTTTCTGATCCCCACCCATACAGCTGTCACTTTTCTCACTCACATGTAACATCAACAAAATTTTTTATGCATCTCAAAAAATCACTCTGTTTTAACATATAATATCTCCCTCCTCTCGCTATATATTATATACACGCTCCTGAGTCCCTTACCTTCCTCACTCTTCTTCCACTGTGTTTGGGGGGTTCGTCTTAATTTCTTTGTCAGAGGATTTCAGATCTTCCTACCAACCGAAGCTCTTGGGTCTTCATGCTATCAACAATCAATTTCCACAGCTCCTTTCTCTCCCTATTTACATCACTTTCTCCCTAACAGTGATCAGTCGTTTCTGTTCATTCTCTCATCTCGTTCCTTCAATTGAACATCTTTGACCTCCCAAAGCTGCCTCTCATCATTCTAAAAGAAAGTGATGAAAGGCAGCTTTGGGATGTTAGGGATTCTTAGTTGAAGGAAGGAGAGGAGAGGATGAATAGAGATGATCTATTCATATCAAGGATGGAAGAACATCGAAGAAGCCTGGTGGCAGGTATCATTTCTCATTCTAGTGTATTTTATTTGTCACTGATATTCTGCTTACTGATCTGCTTCATTGAAATTGCAAAATGTCTAATGTATTTATTTGTCACTGATATGGTGTCAAGAATCAATTTCCACAAAGATTGAGTTTTTGTTGTTATTTTGGTGGTTGTTGATGTCACGAGAACAAGAGATTCTATTTCTTTTCCTTCTGTTCGTATTTTAAAATAAATTTTAAAATTATTTGCTTGTTCAGAAACCCAATTTTCTTCATAATGTATGGATGAAGAAGAAAGAAAAAGGAACACAAGTTAAACCCATTTCACTTTGTGGTCTGCTTACCGTTTGGGCAGCTCCATTTTGTTATCATATTCAGATTTGATTCTAGGATAAGTTACTTATATTATTATTACGTGAAGTTTTTTTTTATATTTTTCACAATTTCCTAATACGTTTAAATTTTGTCCTTTAATGTAAGTTTACTTTTTGCTGAGGGAGAAATGAGTAGGATCGGAATGGTGTTTTGTTTTTAATTTTTCTTTCTGTTTTATTTTTTATTTAAACAAATTTATTTTTTCTTGAGGATTGTGTGGTTGGGGGATATAAGGAGTCATTTTACACTGCAAGACCTCCACATAGAAATGGATATAATTTTAATTACAAATGACAATTTTAATTTTATGAGATATGGTTTTGAAGAATGTTTATCTTCAGTTTGGTGACACCCAAGCTCTATCTATTCAAAATAATTTAGTGGAGTCAGCAGCTCCCTGCACCAAGCCATTTTTAATTTTTAATCTTCTTACTTGACTGTTTTGGTATGCAGCTTGAGTCCAACACTCATGGAAGATTGATGGTCCATTGCAAGTGAAACACGCACAAATATCTAATATATTTTTAAACGGAATTCAGCATTTTTTTCACAAATATTGAAGGGTCAGATGTTGGAGTTGCAGAGCAGATTCTATGTATGGAATTTTAGATTTTTTTTTTTTTCCCTGCAGGCTTGAAAGAATACCATGTAATCCATTGTTGGACACATGTTACAATTAAATTCAATTGTTGGTGCTGCTTTCCCAAGTACGTTGATAATCGAATTGGGTTGGTAGAAAGTTAAAAAAAAAAAGAAAAAGGATGGCAGACAATGAAAAATAGAAAAAGAATTGTAGATTATCGGAGGACTCTCAAGTGTCCTTACTTATTGGTACCCAGTGATATCTTTGTAGATATCAAAGATACAGCTAATGTAGTCGTACATGAGCACTTTGACCATCATTAAAAAGATTGGGCAACAGATGACAAGAAATCTCTATTTCTGTCATTTGTTGTCTAGTCTATGTAAAAATGGTCGAAGTGTTCGTGTATAACTACATGACCAATAAGTAAAGACTCTTGAGAGTCCTCCAATCGATTATGGAATTTACAATTCTTTTTATATTTTTCAGTTTTCTTTCTACCAATCCAATTCCATTATTAACGTACTTTGTGAAGCACCAGCAGCGCCTTTTTTTTTTTTCTCCCGTTCTTCCAAATTGGTATCTACCATTCACATCTATTTTACCAAAATATGAAATTTTCCATCACACCTTTCAGTTTCCACCACAACTTTCCGTTTCCACCACCCCAAGAGTACGTGAGAATTCAAACAATATAGTTTTGTTCCAGCGATCTGAAAATTGCATACATATAGTTAGATAACTAAAAGGAGTGAATTGCAAAAAAAAAAACCCTTTGACCATAAAATCATTTAATAAAAGAACCGCGATGTGGCTCTCACTTGATGACTTGCTATCTCGCTTCCTCGAAAAGTCACGGGCGTCATTTCTTCTGCCCCTCTTCTCTGACGGTCTCTCTGCAGTTTCAATGATTTGACAAAATCATTTAAATTGTATAAATGCAAAACTGAGAAGAGTTGCACATGCGAGAAAGCGCTATCAATCTCCTACACTTGTTTTATACAGTTGATTTAAGTTTTTGAGTTCAAAACTTTAATTGCATGTAATTCAGAAGCATTGTCATGATTCGACAATCAGTTTCGATCGAGAAACTTGGAGAACAACAAAGCCAATCCAATTCACTAAGGACAGCCAAATTTATCACAATTATGTAGCTAAATTCAAATACCTTTGTGATTATAAAAGAGATTAATCAGTTTACCATATCGGCAATGACATCCAAAACTGTCATTTAAATTACAAATGAGAATTTTCATTTTGCAAAAAATAATCTCAAAGACTCTTTTCTTCAGTTCCTAACAAGTTTAAATGGTCGTGCTTCATGTCTAAATGAGAATTATCCTATTTGCATACTACTCACTAGGGTCCTTTTGGGGTAGTAATGTTTCGCGCAAGGCTTATTATTATTATTATTATTATTTTATTTTTATTTTTATTTTTTATTATTGAGTAGATCTAGAGCCCTTAATTTATTGATTCAATTGGAGATTAGGTGGTGCTCGTATTGTACAACACCAAAATAATAGACTGCATCAAACTATTTGTTAGGCAGGTTACTTTAAAATTTGTCTATTATTACTTATCATAAAAAGTTATTTCTTTGATTTAGCTTTAAACACAGTTTTTTTTCCCTAATGATTATACTTATATATATATTAAGAAAAGCTTTAAACACTGCTTTTTTTGACTTCTTGTTGTCCTTCTTTAAACAATTTTTTTTAATTTTTTAAATTTTTTTTTGACTTATGGTCAAAACAAGAGGTAATTTACCGGGATAGCTCGGTTGATCAAGTTTTGAATTTGTTCCTTAATGGTCATTAGTTCAAGTCTCCGTAGGGTCACTGGAAAGTTACCCGGTCATTAACTTTAGGGCCTCGTGGGATTAGTCGAGGTGCGCGCAAACTGACCCGAACACCCACGATTATCAAAAAACAAAAAAAACAAGAGGTAATTTTTTTTATTACTGTTTAATTGAAAAAGGAGTTCCAATTAAGAAGTTGAATCTTGTTTTTATCCTCACAAAAAAAAAAGAATATAATTAATTAATTATTTATTTACTTTCGTTCGATTCGTTACTCTACAAGACCCCTCCCTACCCCGTCCCTGCACGGTTTTGAATGGGGATGGGAGGGCCACGACGTTCCCGCCCTAAACTGTCCGTGTTGCCTTCCCTAAATGTAAGTAAGGGAGAACAGAAGCAAAAAGAATCGCTACTTTTCAGGCCTCTCCATTCCGGCCTTTGTTACTTATCAAACACTTACTTCGATCCATCGAAGCTGACAGACATGTCATAAAAATATCTTCTTCGCCTTATCCGGATTGCTGAGCTGAAATCGCCTTGATTTAAGGCATTCTGTTTATTATTATTATTATTATTATTTTGTATGCTTAGAACCATAGAACTGAACCGGTTTTTCATTGTTTGATTTGGTTTGATTCCATTAGTCTCACGATTCGATTTGATTCTAAAATACTCCAAGTCGAATTGGGTGCACCCCTTAACTTTTATTTATTTATAAAAGAAAATAATAATAATAATACTTACTTAAAAAAAAAAAAATCCACACCATGAAACATAAATTGAAATTACCTACGGAGTATAGGGGTGGGCAAATAATCCGTGAATTCGCGAATCCGATCCATGCAGATCGGATTGGATTTCTACACACACGGATCGGATTATGGATTGAGTTGTGAAAAATTCGACCCGATCCGTGATATATATTCAAAAAATCTATTAATTGCTTTTCAAAAAAAAAAAAAAAATGTTATTTTTCCCTTTTAGGTATAATTGTCACTTTTTTTTTCAAACAATATATTTTATATCTTTCCATATATGTTCTTGGAGTTTAAAATTTCAAACTTGAATATTCAAAACTTAGAAAGACAAATTAGTAACTTTGTAAGGAGACAAGACATGCCCCTTAAAAACTCATACTCCCTAAAAGCGACATTGAAATTGAGACAGAGAAAGTTATTTAATTAATTGATGATCGTTTAATGGATTATAAGAGTGTATTAGTTAATGCTCATTTAAATATATGAATTAATGGTGATAAATTGAAATTTTATCTATTGGGTTATGGTTAAAAAATAAATAATATTGAACTAGGGCAAATTTTTCAAAACCCTCGTTACTTAAAAAAAAATGATCATAAAACCCCAACTAGTTTTAAAAACCCCCAACAATATAACAACGTTATCATTTTACCCCAACTCTGTTAATGAACCGTTAAAGGTATGTGAAATGACAAAATTACCCTTATGATATTCCACTTTATTTAAAAAATTAAAAAATTATATTTTGCAAATTACAATATTATCCTTTTGGTTTAATCCAGCAGTGTAATTAACAAATACAATTAATAATTAATTACAATCCAGCAGTTTACACACACATATATATATCTATACATACACACACACACACACACACAGACACATATATATCTCTATATATATACACGGTGGCTGCGAATCAGGATACCGCCGGCGGTGCAAGGTCTAATCACATTTGGAGTATCTGATAATTATACATGCCTGACTTGAATTATGCACCTGGATTGCGCTGCAAGGTCTAATCACATTTGGAGTATCTGATAATAGAATATCAAGGACGAGCCAGTACTCCGCACTATGCTGTAGATTTAGCCAGTGACGGACACAGAAAATTTTGTCGGGGGGGGGGGGGGGGGGCGGCTTTTTAATTTGTGGGTACAAAATTATATGATGGGTTCATTTTTGTAATTTTAATAGGGTTTTTTTTCATAAATTTTAAAAAATTTAAAGTATAAAATGAAAAAAAAAAAAAATTAGTGGGGCAAATTATAATTTTAGTGGGGGCATCTTCATAAATTATCAAAATTTGAAGTATAAAATGCTAAAAAAAAAAAGAATTCAGTGGGGGCGAATTGTAATTTTAGGGAGGGATTTTCATAAATTTTTTAAAAATTAAAATATAAAATGAACACATTAAAAATCCAGGGGGGCATCCGCCCCCCCTGGTCACATGCTGGGTCCGTGGCTGGATTTAGCCCCCCTGGGTATGGAGGGATTTGGCTTGGGTTACTGGTATCTGGCCATGTTCGGTCTGCACTTCCCATCCAACCCAACAACCCGAAGTGAAATTCAGGAGGCAAGTCATACATATATACCCTTAGTAGAGTCAAATGCCTTCCTTTTATCTTGTCCTAAGGCACCCAATTTATTGCTGGAATTGGAATTCCTACCAGCCACCTCTTGGCTTCTCATGGTTCATCTAGTATGCTCCGATGCAGCCTCAGAAGAAATGAAAAGAGGCTTAATTTGTTCACTTCTAGCATTAGGTTTGGAGTTGATGGATGTGCTATTAACAGGAATTAAATTAAAAACTGATCTGGGTATGAAAGAATTGTCACTGACTTGAAGAAGAAGCAAGGAAGAAAATATCAAAACGAACAAAGAAACTATAATTAGGTCGAAGAGAAACCTCGAGGGTAGCATGCTCTTTTCTGACATTGATGACATTTGAAGAATCTACAATCTATTATGTTTTCATAAAATCTAACAAAACAGCATCAGATAATACTGTAGAGGAAGAAAATACTCCAAATTTGTCATTAGGAGCAAAGGGTAAACAATCCACAACTGAAGTATCAATTCAGAAAATCACTAGAAGTGGAGGTTTCCAACTCTTACTATGAACAAGAACAGTTTGATTCCCTCAATCATTATAAGGGAAAAACAGATCCCCAGAACGGAAAGTAAATTCAACAATTTGCCTTAAACCCTAAGGGTTTTAAAGATTTGAACTATTCTCATCGCAGCATGTTCTTTTACAAACACTGACAACCTCAATTGGAAAATAAAATTTTCCTTTTCTATTAAAAATTTATGAACTGAAAATTTGCATACTTGTTATGTTCATCCAATAGCTTCTACTCTGTTCTTGTATTCAAAGTCAAGGACCTCTAATCAACCTGCATAAAAGAGAAAACAGTATAAAAAATAAATTCTTTAACGCATGAACTAACAAGCTTCAAGACTACATGCAACAACGAATATTGAACACAAAATTTATTTATTTTTCGCAAATTAAACAAATTATCACCATCTGGGTTTTCAGGATTTGAGATATTCCGAAAAGGGTCGATGAAGGTTTGCGAGAAGAGTACCTGATCAGCTTGGTTCACCGAGATGCCGCGGCGTTTGAGGTTTTTTTTAGACAGGCGAGGAATGAGTTGGAGGCTTGTCTGGTACAACAGGTGACCAAAATCTCATTGTATTTGATTATTATAAATTGCCACCCAAAATCAAGAAAATGAGATGAACTAGGGTTTCTTAAAACTATTTCAGGCATGGAGGAGAGAAGGGATTGCTTGGGGGTATTTTCAGAATAACACATATAAATCAATATCACTTGTTTGGCACATTTTCGTCACAAAAGTTAATTTGGCAAAGCAATTGTTAACTACTCGCTTATTAACGGCCCCAATTGACAAAGTTGAGGTAAAATGATAACGTTGTTATATTGTTGGGAGGTTTTTAAACATAGCTACGGTTTTATGATCATTTTTTA